GCTTTCCTGGGCAGGATGACATCTGCCTTTGGGGGGGGGGGGTCGGCGAAGAAAGATCGCCTCTGGTCTCTCTTATGAAGAGCGAGAACTGATCCCAGCCTCCCGTCAGGCGATCAGAGCGAACGAGGATTGCATCTGTTTAAAAAAGGGGAGTCTCGAGTTTTATAGGCGGCCAGTTCTGGATCATATCGCTCACTCTTCATAGGCAGCGCCGGTCTCTCCGAGGGTTATTACACACCTGAGAAAATAGCGACACCTTTCACACGATCGTCCCGCCCCCCATCCCAGTTACACGTAGTAGTGTTTTGGCGGCCTCCTGGTGGGGTCCAATTGGGGTCTGTTGCAGTGAAACCATCCACGTTTTGTGACATCTTAAGAACTAACACATTTATAAAGGCCTATGCTTTCCTGGGCAGGATGACATCTGCCTTTGGGGGGGGGGGGGATAGTGGACAGATGGAGAAATGAAATCTGGGAAGTGCAGAGCGTGGTACTAGCTAACTTAGAAATTGCAACCACTCACAAAATTATTTGCAGGATATACACATACTTGCCCACTCACACTAAGATTCATGAAACTTTGTGCCACTGCATATTTGTTGATTTTTAAGATACTCCCAGAGTTCTGGATGTTACATTATCTACTATTCTACAACCAGGCACTTGGGAAATAAATGTTCTTTCTAACCTGGTGGTGACCATGGTTTTTTTAAAAAAACATTTCAGAATGATTCATTAAAATACATAATATTGTGCACCTTTCCTGCACAAACTTCAAGAACCTCCCTCATTTCTTTATAATTTTATCAACCCAATAATCACATGAGTTGAGTGAAGCCGTATTTGACACAAGGTCATAATGAACTGGAAATTCAGTTTAATGATATATATGACAATGATACATAAAGACACTATATAGAGAAGGATATTAAAATTTCCTCTCAAGGTGTTTACAAGGATTGGAATTGTGTACCAGATGAGTTATCAAATATGTTCTTAAAGAGTTTGAAGAGAACCCCAGAGGAAACTGGAATGCAATCTTAACTGTCTTGTCATGACAACATTTTGATAAAATATCTCTAGTAAAAATTGATCCACTCCAGATGATTTATATGGGACAGGGAGACATTGGTTCTGCTTCATTAGCAATAGCAATAGCAGTAGACTTATATACCGCTTCATAGGGCTTTCAGCCCTCTCTAAGCGGTTTACAGAGAGTCAGCATATTGCCCCCNCAGAATTCCCCAGCCAGCATTCGCTGGCTGGGGAATTCTGGGAGTTGAAGTCCGGACATCTTCAAGTTGCTAAGGTTGAGAAACACTGGCTTAGAGCACAAGTGAGCTTTAATCCGCCACTGAGTAAGAACGGCACCATCCCAAGTTAGACGCAGGGATTCCTCCTGGCAGCAAAGTACAACCTTCGTGGAATCGATGGCTCCTTAAGTAAACCACGAAAGGTGCGAAGAATCTGCCCTCCCACACCCTCCATCTGTTGCTCGCTCCTTCCGCAGCCACGGGCACGAGTGGGAAATGCCAATCGTTACACTGGACCAAGTTGGAACGTGTGCCACCATTGGCTGCTCCGCTAGTCTCGGCAGGGAGCAACAGCACAGCTGGCACTCGCCCCCAAGAGGAGGGTGTGTCCTCTTGCCAATGTCTGCGTGTGTCCGAGTTGGTGTGTTTGTGTCCATTCTACCTAATTTTATCTGTTTGTTTGTTTGTTTGATTTGTCGATCGTTTACAATATAATAGGCATAATAGATAATAATAGATAATAGGTAGGCACGATGGTGCACTTATGCACGCCCCTTACAGATCTCTTAGGAATGGGGTGAGGCAGTTTAAGATTAAAGTTTTGGGGATTCTCCGTAGGGGCGCCTTAAGTAGCCAAGAACCACTTCTCCCTCTCTCTTGATGCAATGAGAGTCCTCTCCCCCGTTACCACCACATCCCTAACGGGAAGAGATCCCTTGGACTCCTGGTCACGTCCTGGACACGCAGGCTTGATGCCTTCATGCCACCCCACAAAACTCAAAAGGCAGCACAAGGAGCCCTTTTCCGTTACGCTCTTGCTCCTTTTCCACCCGGCTGCTGCTCTTCCCCTCCAGGATCCCACCTTTGGGGGACGCTTGGCTCCAACCACGCATCCTCAGCGAGCAAGCGGCGGGGACCGAGCCCGCCTTTCTCCCCGGCCTCAGTCCCCGAGCTCGCTCTGATCCGGCTCTTCTCTCGTTGGTCCGCAGGGCCGCCTTCCCTCCCCTGCGGGCTGGATCTACGGGACGAGGCGGCGGGCGCGGCTTCCAGGTGGGCGGGTGTCACAACCCGCCGTCAAAGGCACTCCAAGCGGAGGAGCGCACGACTCGACGCTGAATGAGCCGAGGGTAGCCGCGACGCTCCGAGAGATCCCAACCACGGACCATCAGCCGCCGCCGCCACCACCTCCGCCACCATGCCTCCTCTGAAGGTCTGCATCATCGGATCCGGCAACTGGTGAGGATCACGGACGCCGTTCGGGGGGGGGGGGGGGGGGG